TCTTGCATTTATTACACCATTGAGTTTTATTCCAACTATATTATTTTATCAACTGAACTCTACTCATTTTATTCCTATCAAGGTTTATTTGTTTCTAACCGTTTGAACTGTTGTCATATAAAAGATTGATTGATCGGTAAACCGGATAGAGTTTGTGCAAATTTACTAGAGTCCTATCTCGTTTGGTGTACACTATCTAGTGGGTCTACGTTCTTGCACTGACAGAGGACGGAAAATTAGAAATTCCCTACTCGATTCTGCTGTTCCGCAAGCATTTAGTGAGAACAATAGTGAGAGAGCAAATGCTACATTTATTTTTTGCTCAAAAAAGACCACCAAATTTCTAACCGATGATGGATCGAAGAAAGCTATTAGCGACAGACAACCTTTCATCACTGTATGTAGAGTGATTTACTCAAATGTTAAGTTATTTCGATCATCTTAGGGAATCAGTCAATTTTTAAAAACATATCTTAAGAGAAACTATACTTAGTGTTCTACGAAAAAGTTTCTGAAAAGAAAAATTGTGATCAACCAAGTCCAATCCTTACTCTGTTCCTGAGTATTTTAAGTACAAAACGTTTGCGTGTAATTCTGTTTTTAACGTATATCAGATACAGCCGGACGACGTAAATTTTTTCGTTGTTTCTAATCCATTCTACATTATAGTAATTAGGTTCCTAACTATGCGAATTAGGCAGTAAATAGACCCAGTCACCGATATTGATTATTTGTAGAAATAATTAAAGTTACCATCTTTTCCCCGTCTACCTCAGCTGGCTTCTAGGATAATGTTTCGTCCGATATGCGTTAGGTGAACACTTTTGACAACTTTAAGGTGATCAAACGATTGATTTCATAGTCTAGTAGTCACCATATAAGGGTATTAAAATGAAAGAATGTTGTTATGAGACTAATTCCTAGTACATAAGCATGACCCTACTCACGACTGAATTTTAGGGCTTAGGCGTCGAGATGAAGTGTTTACGATTTGAAGCACTGTTGTGGGTGATACTAGATAATGACATGAATTTCCAGCAATTTCATAGTAATAATCTTAACATTATTGAGTAGTATGTTGTTACTTAAAGGCCGGTCAGTTATCACGTGATTTATTCGCCAATCGAAATACGACTTATTCAATCTTAGTACTGTGCCAAACCAAAGACACTCGATCGGTCAGCCTAGCGATATTATTGGTCCTTCGTTCGCCTAGCCTGTCCACTTGAGTCCAGAACACTAATAACAGCTCCTACTATGTGAATCATTTATTTCAAACATACTTAGTTTATGTACCAGCCACACAGACCACATCACATCATAAAGTAGGAAATAACACTTATAGAATATCAAGCCGAAAAATGGCTGTGAACGTGGGAGACTAGTCAATAAACTGAGTATAGCTTAAGAACAGTAAATCGTATAATAATAATCTATAGGTCAAAATGAAACTTACCATTAAGGGAATATAGGTATACGTAGTCTAGTTACTGAACAGTTATACAATAGGTGTATATATAAGCTCATTAATAGGTCTCAAAGTCACTCGTAATTTAATCTTCCCTAATATATAATAGTAAGATTTATAAAACGATAGTTATGGATTTACATTTTCACACCGTAAATGTTCACATATTGTTTTAGGATTCCCAATTGAAATTCTGAAAAAACAACTCGAAAACTTTCAACTGAAAGGTAGGTAAACAAGGACGTAGCTACCACGTGATCTAAGCTGATGCATAGATAACAAATAGATGGATATATAAAAAAACTTAATAATAAAGTATTCATTAAAAGTGCATCAAAACTTTTAAAGTAGGGAAACAATATACATTTCTTTTAATTTTGAAGATATTCCGTATCAGCTGATGGATACAAATTAATTGAAATGTGGTTCATAAAAACAGCTGACTTGAATTTCCAAAAAGAATAGAGTGGGATGCTATCTGAAGGTAAACAGTCGCGAAAATAATAATTTAACGGTATTACCTTTTAAAATCTGGACCGAAAATTGTGACATTCCATCTTACATAAAATACTAATCATCAAATTCTGATCTTTGTTTGGATGAAGAGTGAGGAAGATGGCTGATAATCGTACATGGTAACTTCAGAATTGGAATTTATAATCAGTAAATCAGGTATTTATAATTGTTCCGTGTACATGGACAACACATTCAAACGGAAAACATTCATGAAAAGCATCATAAAAATGCTTATTAAGCAAACACTCCTTAGGAAGGTTACATTAGTAGGTTACTAGGTCTCTCTATGGAGTGGGCTATTTAGGGAATAAATCCTATAGCTGATTTTCAAAAGCTTGTGGATGGAGCTTTCAAACTAAGCATTTCATATTGTAGATTTCAGTCTAGAAAGCAGAAAACCTAGCATTACATTTGGATATACGTTTCAGTAATAGACGTTCATCAGCTAATATTTAATTCACCTATATCTGCTGCGAATGTTTAATGAACCAAAACCTGATCCTCTATAAAGGTCTCGACCGAGTGTCTACGTTGTATTTCATAAACAATGGGTTTTTTGCAGTGTTATTCAAGTTAACATGGTGGTGAACTAGTTCCTGAGCCAGGTGACTTCGCTTTCCTAATCCTGTGGAATAACTAAATGTGCTGACGACTAGCTAACTGTAATAAGCGGATCACTGGTAGAGAAACCTTTTGTTATGCCTCTTATTTACTAAATATCAGTAAACATTCTCGATCACTTCCTGTGATTCGTCCGTAGTGAATTAGAGTAAGTTCGGTCATGTGATACTACAGAAGCTTATTTTGAATGAGCAACTCTACGAATCATTGTGGAACAATCAATGGAATGGAATTCATCACTCTACATCAACTTCATTGACTACGAAAGAGCATTTGATAGCGTGGACAGAACAACACTATGGAAGCTTCTTCGACACCACGGCGTGCCTCATGAGATAGTCAATATCATACGGGATTCCTATGATGGATTAAACTGCAAAATTGTGCATGGAGGACAATTGACAGACTCGTTCGAGGTAAAGACCGGTGTCAGGCAAGGTTGCTTACTCTCACCCTTTCTCTTTCTCCTGGATCATGAAGATGTCAACATCTGAAGGGAAACGCGGGATGCAGTGGACATCTAGGATACAGCTGGACGATCTAGACTTCGCAGATGATCTGGCCCTCCTATCGCAATCGCAACAACAAATGCAGGAGAAGATGACCAGTGTAGCAGCAGTAGGTCTCAATATACACAAAGGTAAAAGCAAGATTCTCCGATACAACACAGCATGCACCAATCCAATCACAACTGACGGAGAAGATTTGGAAGATGTAAAAACCTGTACATATTTGGGCAGCATCATTGATGAACACGGTGTATCTGATGCAGGTGTGGAGGCGCGGATCGGAAAAGCAAGAGCAGCATATTTACAACTGAAGAACATCTGGATCTCAAAGTGGAATAGAGAGTCCCCACCAGGTTTTATGATCATTACGGAGACGTTTTGAAATCTTATATGTATTGCTGAACTAACCATCTGCCGTAATAGACGTGCCGTATTGTAAGAACCTCACAGGAACGCAGTATTCACCAACGGGACGTTTCACGAAGCCGTGAGTGGACCTAGTCTTTATTTAAATGGGGTTCTGTAGGCGCGTGCATGCTGATTTATACTTTCCAACGAATTACCTCCTACCCTTAGACTTATCTCAGTTTGTTGTCAATGCTAAGTGCAGCCAATTCTTTTTCAACCAATCTTTTGGAATGATAAATTTGTTGAACGGCAAAACGCATGACTGGAATCCAAGAAGATACTCTAAAATGAAAACAATCTTGTAAGCGACCGCGGCATCGGTAGCTAGTCGCAATATGGCCACCATGAGCCCAGACTTAAGTTGAGGAGGGAAGACATGACAGTTCAGAAAGCTTGCGATCTGTGCAAATCTGTGGGAAACAGTCTCCATTATCCGAGCTGGGATCAATGAGTTGCCATCGCTTTCAGTCCGCTACAACGTAGGTCCAGGCACATATATGCATCAGTCTAAGTTGCCACACCTCAATAGTACAAGCTGGACACCGAATTCATAGAAACAGTTACTTTGACGGTAGTAAAATAATCAGAGTATAGGTGAACACAACGAGAAGACATTGTTTTCCACATCGTTGCGAGACGTTAGTCTTAGTCGTAAATGTCCGTTGTTCGATCTGTTTCGATGTATGAACGTTGTGGATAGAAATTTTAAAAGACGTACACTATTGCAGGATAGGTACATGAACTCTTCCGCCCGAGGACAACCTTCGATAGGCAATAATCTGGCAATGTGAGATCATTCAATTTAGATTACTCAGGTGGCATATTTCTGTTTGAGTAAGACGTCAGTGAAATGAACTCGTCTGAATGTCTTGAGGACTACATTAGTGTTAGTTGGGTCTCCAACAATTCGAAATGCTTAAGAACTACAGTGGGCCAGTTTTTAGTCTGAACATATGGAGGTAAGTAGTTCAGCACACTGACGATACTCACCTTGGCAGCTCCATTAGCATTGGGCGATAGATAGACGACAGAATTTTGACACGAATGAAAACCTTGTTTGGATTTTGTAAACTTTCGTTACGTATGTTGAACAAACGGTGTCTGTCTGTCTATAAACGAGCAAAGACGTTCCAAGGTACTTCGCTCTGTTTTCGCATATGGCTGTGCAACACTTTACTGGAGGTAGGAAACACAGGTAGGTTCCTCAGTGTTATGGCATACGTTCATAGAACTTTATACGCTTTCGGTATCAGTTACTCACCAATTTTGTAGTTAAGTGTTTTTTGAATTCCTAACTGAATTCAATGGGTTACATATAGTCAGTAGTGCATCAATCAATTACACATGATTGGTCGATATATCCACTAATAACATCACCTGTGTGGCATACAATGCAGTTGGGAAATTGGAAAATACAGAAACATGCACAAATACTCATTATTAGTTTCCTGCTTTTATGAAAATAATAATAGCGTGCAGAAAGAAAAACTTTACAATGACCGTTATGGTTGGTGTCAGTGATGTATTACAAATAGTAAAACTATAAAATCACACAGTAGTGCGTTCACAGTTAGTTTTAACAAATGTATTAAGATTCATTTGATGATAGCCCAGTGTTTTAAAATAAGTCGAAGACAAATATTCGACTGAAAGAATTGTAATACAAAAAGTGTCAATAATAGTTTAGTAGTAGTCTCCGAACCAATCACACTGTCGAAAAAGACAATCGAAATGCAAGAGGAACGATGGGAGTGTATTTATATACAAGAAGATGGGGTGGTTATATCCATTTGAAGAATTGAATTTCGTAAGTTATTAAGAGGAATAGTGTTACAGTGATTTGTATTGGAATCAATTTTTAGCCTTCTCCCTCAGTGTACGCTCTCGTAGGTTAACCAAAAGGTCACGGATTTGGGCACGCTTCTGGCTGACAGTAGCTTCTGGAAACCAACCAGCCATTTCGTGTTGGAAATAATCCTTCGTATAACTTTGAACAGGTTTCTAAAAATATATTAACCAGTGGTAAAAAGGCGAATAAGTGATAGAGTTAACTTTTCGGTCAGTTATTGATAGATTATTTCACGAAAACACTGTCGACAAAAGTAAACTGCAGGGTCGCGTATGAAACAATTTAAAGATCAATCCAATAAGTATATTAGGGGTTACAAGTCATCAGTTACTAAAGTAATGCATATAAAGAAATGGACAAATGATCATTAATATGGATAGAATTTTCTGATATTATTTTAGAAATCTATATAAGCGAATATTATACAGAAGATGAGAGTTTACACCCAAGTATACACAGTAACTATAGTACAAAGATTGGTTTCCGTAGGTTTACATCAAAATGAGCACACTAGGTACATAATAAACATATAATTCTAACCACAGGTACGATTCATTTGTATTAGGCCCAGCCCATCAAGCGAAGGACCATACACACTTTGATAGCCTGAAATAAATGACCGATATTCAGATTTACAAGTTACATGTTAACAATAACACATCAAGTTTACACCCATAATTAACTACGGTATGTCAAAACAATTAAATTTACCTTGAAAAACATTTCCACGTAATGAAGTAGGTAGATTCCACAATCAACCAGGTTACTCTGAACAGGCACTCGAGGACTAAAACCTCGAATTGTATCCTTATCGAAGCGGAGAACACCATCTTGGGCTGATCTGCGAGTATTCCATTCAGCTTGTAAATAACTGAAATAAACAAAAAATAAAATATTTGCATTTATATGTGTTTATTAGTAGTCTACAATATAGTGGGATTAAAAACCAAAGTTACATTCTTTTACTCATTGTGGTTTTTGTTCAAGATACGATATTCTTGTATTAAGTTACCATGAACTATGCTCAACATGACATGCAGCATACGATTTGTTATAACTCTACGTATTTCTCATATATGTGACTTTGTTCTAATTAATAATCAAAATGGGTGTACTGTGAATATACAAATGAATTTATTGTTAACCAGGGTCGTTTTTATGTTTTGGGGTTAATAAATCACTTGTACAGGTCTTGGTGTTCTTTACGTCATGGGGATGGCAGTGGTTCACCGTTTTACAGGTATAAGTAATAAGCGATTCTGACATAACAATTATCGACGACTAGATAGAACAACTGACGACAGGAATTTCGGAAAAAAAGAAAACAAAACAATCGCTGACTGGGTCAATTTACAAGCTTCAGTTTCCAACATAACTGTCTGTTTCCAGTTATAACCCAGTTTTCAGTTCAACTTACCCCAAATCCTGTTTCCTCAGTTATAAATATAATTCTGCTCTTATTTATCAAGTCTCTGTTACAATAAACGACGCGGTTACTAATGTGAGAACATGTCAGTTTCAGCAGCAAAAGTAAAACGGATGCTTCAGTTTATTGAAGATTTATTTGTTAATCAGATCCCACTTAATGCTCATCGGTGCATCGAACGAACATATGCTTAAACAATCAAATTTGGAGTCGCACTCAAAAGTTCTAGATACACGTAACGAGTTAACTGATACAGTAAGGAACAGTTTTGTGAATGAGGAAGAGGTCAACAAATTCCTTAATAATAATCCTCGCACAAAATACGATGGAGTAGAAAAGAAAACCTGCTTCTTATACTTACGTTTCAAAGGTGATGAAATTGCCGGAATAATTAATCACAGACTAAACTGTGCGTTGAAAGTGACCTACTAAGCAGCAAAACTTATGACAGTATGGCAAACGAACTGCTCACTTAAACAAACCAAAATCGACAAGTCCTCTTTTCTTAATAGCTCCAACTGCATTTACCAATTCACATGTACGTGCCAAACACACATTGGAAGAACTGAGAGGAGAGTGCATGTTTCAAAAAACTCCGAGGGACTAAGACTTTCAACAACGCAATAGCTCGACATCTACTTGACACCGGGCACACCGTCGACATTCCGCACGCTTTCAAAATTATCAACAGACAAAGAAGTACGACCACCCTCCGTTTTGCTGAAGCCATTGTGATCAAAAAAATTAAACCGGATTTATGAATTCAAAAAGACTTGAATGAACTTATCACTACCGTGGTAACCCCCTTTTTTGTGTGCGTATTTTGGTTATTTGGGTTATTTTATTCATTTATTTATTTTAAAATATTTATACTCCTCCCCTATTACATAATTCTTAAACCACACTATTATTATCAGTATGGGGGTTGTGGAGATTGTTAAGTTTTTTTGGTTGAGATCATGAATTAATTGATGTTAGACCACCGTTGGAAACCTGGAAGAACTGGACGGCCATTTCGTCCTAGGAGGAGTCCCATACTAGGACGAAACGGCCGTCCAGTGCTTCCAGGTTTCCAACGGTGGTCTAACATCAATTAATTCATGATCTCAACCAAAAAACACATTATTATTCACACATTTCCACCACCTGATCCTCTTAAATTAACTTAACTTTTCAAATTCGATTTAATTATTACGTAACCTAACTTATGATTATCCAATTTCATTAATCTCCAAAATCATAATACAATTTATGGACTTCACTAAACTATTACACCACCCACCCTGAATTAATTCCTTTTTTAACCTCTGACCTGTTCTAGCATATATATATAGTTATTATTGTAATCCTGTTATTTACACTCATCCATGTCAATTGTTTACACACTATCTCGATGTAAAAATTCTATCACATTTTTGGTTTGTAAGCAACTGACGACAAACCTCGAAATAATATGAATTCATACTATTCTGCACCAATATTTGTTCTTGCTTTATTTAAATTCATAAAGTGAACCAATTGCATGAAATCCTTAATAATGTTGACTCTGGACAATGTTCAAATGTTCTTTTGTCACATCCCTCTCATTCTAATTATCCAGTCACGTCGGGTGGGACAAATGTTTCAAATGAATCAATTTCCGATCAAATTCCTAATGATGTCATATCAGATGCTGACTATCTTGATGATTCATTAATTCCTAATGAAGTCCTTAATGAGTTTGAGAAAAATGTTTCGAATGTATCAAATTCCAGCGATATCATAACAAATGTTGCTTGTTCTCACGATGCACTTGTTTCTCGTGAAAAATTAGTCAATATGATGCACGAATTCTCAATGGGTTCAAATCTAATTATAGTTCTAATGGACCCATATCAAGTGTTATTTATCCTCACAATTCACTCACCTCTAGTCAGTGTGAGAAAAATGTTCTAAACGAGTCACACTCTGATCACATTTCAGATGTGATTGTAGCAGATTTTGGGTGCTCTCACACCTGATATATGTGTTACATAGAATCCCTCCTCAATGTTATGATAAATCAATCGATATAACAAGTGTTAGTGGAGCAGTCGCGAAACCAGATTGCAGAGCATGGAAGTCGGAAGGTTAAATATTTTATTTATTTGTGTCTATTAGTAGTTTTCTAGTTAGTTTAACTAATAGAGTAATTAACAGTCATTATTATGCCTTATTATAGATAGATCTATCGAGTGATATTGTGATATGTAGTCATTTGTGGTTAGACAATGTCGCTTAGATATTCGCAAAGACAGCGAATCAACTTTCTTCTCGTTGTAAAGTAATTATTCCTAGCAGTTACAGAAGGAGAAGTAATCTTTTTTGTTCTTGCACAAGACTAGTTTGTTCACAGTAAACAATAGTCACCCAATTACTGGTACGAGTTACTCTCCTTAATAATTTTTTGTCTCCAAACATTTTTCACAACTGTTATGATCTGGGTTTATTTACACCTCCGAACATGTTGTTCGGTAAACAACCATGCGCTTGCTGCTTCTTTCTATTCAAAGTTAAATTAGGCACACTAGTATAACTCTCTTTAACCAGGTGCTTTATACATATGAGTCGATTCCTCTTCAAAAAAGTACTTCTGGTCTAACTGAGCGTCTATTCTTAGGGTGACTTGATTGTATTTAATTAATTCTGCTTTATTTCATCTGATAAACTCTTCGTATACATCCAACTAGCACATGGCAGTGATTCCTTGCAATAATCTCAGTAACGATTGATTAAACGGTACGATGATACTACGAGTAATCTGGTGAATGCTAATATGTTTGATCAACTGTGCCAATGCTAACGCCAATAATAATGGGGCATTGCAGTAACTTGCTGCATGTGCATACACGAGACATTAATAAATTTTCCTGTCTAAAATCACAAATTATATGTTTTAAAAGTCAAGTCATATTTCTACTGAAATAATCAAAAATTACAGTCACGGACTAGTGACCTGTGACAACAATAAGATGTCGAGTTTAATCAAAGAGGTTTCAGTACAGTGAAAATTATCTGAAAGTTCAATACGAATGTCTCTATTTGGTGGGACAGTGAGATCTCAAGGAGAATAATGTTCGTAAAGTAAGATTTGATGGCTTTATTGAATAAATAATGCTGAAAAAAATAGAGGTAACTTACTTTCGAATAACATGCAAATTGCCAACTCGGCTTTGACAAGGAAGCGAATCGAATAGTAAAACACATGGCCTATTCAGGGTTTTTTCAAAATAATGGGATTTAGTAACAGTTACAAAGAAAAAAATAAAGCTAACTAAATAGAATATATACATGTGAGAGTGATTATAAAGTCTCTAAAATATCAAGTTATTTACTTGCCACAGGGTTATATTTTGGACCAACTGATAAACATATTGAGGTACGAGTTAACGTCAAGTATATGGTATTAGAAATACAGTATACAACTGTGAACCGAAAAGTTTTTGGTACAGAAACAAGAATATGAACTCTATGTAACTAACAATACAAGTTAAATAGAAAAAGGAGTTGCTTAATTTTCACATAGTAGTTCGACTGAACAGACTGAGTCAGTCCGTCAGTGACAACGTAGAACTTCGTACGTACGTACATTAGTCTGAGTTGCCATATCACATTAGCACAGAGATGCAGTTGTCGACTCAAATCTCTTAGTGATAGAGGTAGTAAGAGTATAAGCAGTAATCGGAAACATTAGGGTTTGAAGTTTTTATTTGAGGAGTATAATCCAGTGAAATGAATTTGGAAAGAGAAAAAAAGGGGACATGGAGAAATCAGGAGATTAGAATTTGGGAGAACACAAAGAGTAGATGCACCTGCGCCATTACAAACGATTTTGAGCCATGTCATTCAAGGTCTCGAACCATCGGTTTCTATCGTCTCGCGGATACCAACCAGGTAGTCTACATCTACCAACATGACTCGGTCCACTTGTCAGTGACTTCATGGACTTGTGCCATGTTTTGGTCTGGTCACCCCTAGCATTCTTCCAACCTACTCCTACACCAGAAAACATCGCACGTCGGTGGTTGGGGATACGTAACACATATCCCAGCCATCTCAACTGATGAAGTTTTCCTACTTCCTAACTGATTTGTCATCCTTACCTAGAACCCGTGTCCTAGCAACTGAGTTACTTACTCGGTGGTTCCAGAATATACGAGCAATGTTTTGAAGACACCTATGATCGAATGCTAGTAACCTACGAATATCCTCTAATCTTATCGGTCATGTTTCACTGCCATAAAGTAGGACGGAACGAACTGCTGCGCAGTATACACGTCCTTTGGTTGATAGACGGAACAGACTGAGTAATAATTCCGCACATGCAAACTAGACTTATGTTCCAGTAAGTAGATTTGGGAATATTGATTTCTCCTATGGAGTAACAAAAACAACTTACATTGCGTTAACACCACGTTGACGAAGCCAGGCTAAACGTCTTCGCCGCCACCGATCAAATGCTTCACCCTAGAATGGAAGAATAGGTCCCGTGTTGACAATCAATAATTGAAATAACAATTTATTTATGTAGTGAACACTAACCGTGCATAGCCAACCCCAGAAAAAAGGTGGAAAACCGTTCGGTCTAAAAGGTGTGTTTACGTGAGGCTAGTAGGTGGGTAACAGTCGTGATTGAAATTTGTGGGTTTCTGATATAATGGCGGAATAAAAATATTTTCCATTTCCATGATATACCACTATAATATGATAATAAGATCGGTGACTGAGACTATACTACCACTAGATTGGATACTCGATCGATACGCTACACACAAACTGGGATAACGTCATATTAGATACACGAATCACAACTAAATATAGAGAACCAGAGTGTAGACTAAAAAATACTTTGTTTGACACAATTACACCCAGCATGGAATCGGTGAGTTTAGAGTAGAAGTCAATAACAGGAGGGAAATCACACATTTAATGGTAAGTTGAGTATTTTTCAGTCCACACTCAGTGGGTAGTCACATCTTGCTTTCCCTGGTTTACGTCAGTTCCTTAACACTCAAATCCTCATACAACAACAGTTTATTAGATACAAGGTAAGGACAATCACGCCGTAATGTTTCTCAAGGTTTGTCTCCAGAAAAGTCACTTCTAGTTCAAAGTATTAGATGACAAAATCTGGGAAATTATGAATGGGAATTCAAAGCGTGGGAAAAATATATTTATGTCAGATAAAGTCGTAACATAATAAACGTTGAAACAGGGAAATTATCAGAACCGAGGATCTGTTTAAACTAAATAAACACACAACTGGAATTAAATAGTTAATTAAATCGGTTTATAGCTAAGTGGCTTGAGTCGTTATAGAAACCTAAAAATACCAAAAATACTAAATGTACAGTTATTTATACAAGCATTGAGGGAAAGTACAAGACATTTTTTATCAGTACTACATTCACCATTCATTGCTTATTAGTCATATAGATGACTGACTAATTTGCTGTTACTATTCGTCATTCGACACTCACTTATCACTATCAATTCCATACAAATTACCCCTAATAGTTACATCGTAACAGAAATTCTGTTTGGAAAAATGAACAGATAGTACAATTCCATGGTAGCAATGATTATGATTTGTAGTCAAACAAGAAGTACAAAGATTACTCATCATCAATGTATGGTTGCACATATTGTGACATATCAAACTGGTAACGAGTGTTTGCTTTTCAGGCACCGATTGATTATTCGTTGTCGACAGTTTTCTTTTGGTGTTGGACAATAAATTTTTGTAAAGTAGTCTAGCCGTTTGTTGTGCTTCAATAATGAATAGGATTTTATTCAATTTTCTGACTCTGTGAATTGGGACAGTTATATTAATCGTTACGTCTATATTTTGCAAAAACATCAACACAGTAGTCCCTGCTTCTGTTTATTCCTCTGTACATGTTTTCAGAAATAGATATATGTCGAAGTAACTCTTTTTAACACGTAATAAAACCATGGACTGTGTCCAGAAGTATCATTTGTTCAACTGTTTTGTTTTTAATGTGTGGTCCCGTAACCAGATGTTACATTAAAACACTACTGAATTAATATCTATGGGACCATTAGTAATTGCAAAGAAAATACTATTATTCTGTTGCAGATGCAACACTGATGACAGATCAGGTCTTTCCTTGCATGCTCAGATACAATATCAGCTAACAATGTTAACACCACCTAAAAGGTATATAAAGTAAGGTATTGTAGATCACTAAAGTAGATGATCTATATCGAATGATTGGCAGCCAGCTGGAGTTGGATCAGCCGGCTAACCGCATGGACCAGTCAATGGCGTGCAATTAACTGATGCGCGTTAGTTGTCGTTGGTTTTGACGAAGATCGGTGAACTGTTTGATATTCAGTGACCCAACTGCCGGATGATTTGGCTATGACTCAGTGACATTTCACTGGCCCTACAGTATCTTCCGTACAAGAGTGAATTATTAAGATGTTTTCGTCAGACAAGGTAAACGACACTGTTATTAGAAAAGGAAATTAATTATCTGCGAGATACAGAAATTAAGTAGTCATCAATTAATACTGATACTAACAACGAATAACTTATGGATGTACTGGCAAATATGAATTATGGAAACATGCTTCAAGCTTAATCGACTGACAGTCTGTAATACGAAGATCTCTGGAGATGGGGAACATTGTATAAGAGTGAGTTCTTGTAGAATCAATTTGACTTGCAATGTAGATGAACACTGAACACTTCTCGGCTAACATATGGAGAAAACTCGACGTCGTTAAGGGGTTAACAAGCAAGATATACTGCTCCAGCCACTAAGATTCAGTGTTCAGATGTAAAATACTGCGCCTCAGTAGAGATGAGTGACTGCTATCATTAGGATCATTCTTTTCACTCGAAAATTACTAAGGCCTACCAACGACTGCAATGAAGACGTTAAAGATCAACTCTACGATAGGCTGCAGTCAATCGTTGAGAAATGCCCAGCAAAGGACTCGACCGTTCTCATGGGGGACATAAATGCCAAGGTTCGAATGGACAACACCGGATATGAAGACATCATAGGACGACACAGACTAGGAGAAAGGAACGAAAATGGTGAGAGGTTTGCGGACCTATGTGCCTTCAATAAACTGGTCGCAGGGGGCACCATATTCCCACATAAACGCATACACAAAGCCACATGGATTGCACTGGATCATACTACACAGAACTAAATCGAACATATCTGCATCAACGAAAAGTTCAGGAGGACGATGGAAGATGTGAGAATCAAGAAAGGAGCTGATATAGCCTCAGATTATCACTTGCTGGTCTCCAAGATGAAACTGAAACTCAAGAAGAACTGAAGAACGGGGCACACAACATCACAAAAGTTCAATACACCCATTCTTCGGGATACTGACAAACTCAACGAATTCAAGATAGCCCTTAGCAATAGGTCCCAGGCCTTTTACGATTTACTCAATAGAGAGGGAATGTATGTCCTATCCACCTCCAACGTCTTCTCCCGATTTCCTCTTCAGCTCGAAGCTGGTTTGATCTCTCCCATAGTAGGTCGTTGTTGATGGTATCCGACCTACAGACATTGAGTATCTTGTGTAGACAATTGCTTATAAATACTTGTACCTTTTTGATAATGGTTGTGGTAGTCTTCGGAGTTTCAGCCCCGTACAGTAGGACTGTCTTAGCGTTCGTATTGAAGATTCTCACTTTGATGTTGGCTGACTGTTGTTTCGAGTGCCATATGTTCTTCAGTTGTAGGAATGCAGTCCTTGCTTTGGCCAGTGTTGTCCATTCCAACCTTGACGTTTAGGTCTCCCATCAGGATGGTGAGAGCCTTTCTTGGGCACTTTGCTATGATTGATTGCAGCCGCTCATAGAACTGACCTTTACTGTCATTGTTACTATCATTGGTAGGTGCATAACATAAATAACATAAATTATGACGCCCCATGGTGAAAGCCGAGATTCTTCGTAAGTCACGAGGCTGATGCCTTTTCTAAGAACCAGAGCAACAACTTTTATAGGTACATGTAAAACTTGGCATGAATATATTTTAACAAAACAGATGCAAAGCTCTCAAATTTGAATTTTAAAAGTTTCGGGCAATTGTATAAATGTTAAAATTTTCTGATTGATTACTTACTGGAGTGTCGGTAGGCAACCTTTGAATAACTTCTTCACCAATATCTAGGGAATTTAAATCGTCGCCTGAGAAGTTGATGCGATCGACATTAGTAAATTTTTCTGTCAACTGGCAGAGATGATAGACTTCTTCACGATAGAGAGCCGTGTAACTGACCATTCCCGCCATCCATGGATAGCAGACAAGACCAAGAAACCAATGTGCACTGAAAGAGTTTTAACAATGACGACCAATCAATCTGAATATACAGAATGTCATGCGGTTTATAAAAGGTAAACAATCAGAATCAGTGACGGTGGATTAATTTAAATACTAAAGAACAATAAACAATTGTAGTAGTGACTAAGTGAACAAATGTAACTAGAACTATATTTTTAGTATAACCTATCTACCAAGTTTAATTTAATGTACTTGATTTCCGTCAGTATTTCTAGTGTAAGAGTTCATGATACGACTCGCCTAAACAAATCGACGTAGATGAAGGAATATTCAAACTTTCAAATCAATAATTAAACGATCATCTGATTACTTATTTAAAAATAAACTGACAGTAGTACATACCACTATCAACATAAATGACTTTCAGAAACATTAAACATCCAGTCTAGAAATTCAACAAAGAAAACGGCGTCGAACCTATTTTAAGTTTAATCATTCAGAAGAAATACTGTGGTCATATTACTCGGGACTTCGTTGGACGAATTGTGTTATGTCGTGGGGCAAGCATTCAGTGGTTAAGGAATACATTTTAAAATCACACTTTAGATTTGTTGTGTGTTTCGTTAACTTTGATTCGCTCAACTGCATATTGTCCTCAACTTTCTTACCAAATAAAGTGAACACAAAATCCAAGTACATAAACATGTACTCGATAAATGAGTTATATTATTCTGGATTATGATATATTTTAGATTTCTTTAAAGGCAACATGTTGTTTTACGGAATTACTATTCTGTGAGTTGTTACAATATTATATGTTGATAATTCCACAAAATGTGATTACATATCGTACTGAACAGACTTCTATTATTAGTCTCAACATATGTAGACAAATATTTTCTACGACAAAGGTGCTCATTGGGGGGGATTTTCCGTCAAAATGAACAAACCATTTGATGCGTCCAACCACATAATAATTCTGACTAATGGAAAAACATGTTTTGATTGTTTATCGTAACAATTCTACCAAGTTAATTGACTGTTCAGTATTGTTTTGTAAAATAGCAGAGTAGGTGAATGACCTTATCAACACAGTTAAAACTAACACTGAAATACGAGGTTCATGAGTGGTTATACCAAAGTTTTTCATGTAAGTGGTCCATTTTTTGCGTGGTCAGTACTGCGAACAGCAGTACTCTTTGAGGCCTAGACATTTTCGAATGGATTCTGAGTAAACTACTGAGGATTGTGATACTAGAAAAGTTTGACAACACTATTGAAAAATTTGAAAAATGTTCAATGGTAAACCAAATAATCCTAAAAATTCAATTAGCTTAACATAATTCAATCCATGTTTAAAAAAATAAATTTTTCAGAGACCTACCATTCGTTAATTGGAATAATAATATAATCTTTACTGAAAAGATCGACTCGACGTGTCCATTTCGCAACATTAGCATGCTGAGCAAAAATTGTTCTATGAAAACAACATGAATTGGAAATGGAAGAATTGAATATTTTCTGAAGGGTGTGGTAGTATCTTGAGAATTTTTTTGAATACTTGTCGGATTATTTTCAAATTTCGTTGAGAATTTGTCAATCATATAAACATAGAGAAAATCTTCCCAACTAACGCTTACTCGTGTCATGCGGTTAGCAGAGATAAACGTAATTTGATGCAATGACATTACAGTTGAAATAATTTCGTAATGATCATTAAGAACTTTCGATGCGGATGAATAAATTACTGATTCAGTGAGTACAGCAAAATAGCAGAGATAATGCTGCACAGTTTCTCCTTAACAGAACAAACACCACATTATGTTATTAGTGAAATCGAGAGAAATAAGTTGACCAATTATTGTACTCAACTTTCCTGTTATTAATGATTGATATTTTAGTCTTTATCTTTTTGTTCCTTGATATCCCTATGAGGAGTTGTAAGAAACTTATACGCTTAAATGATATATAAAGATGTCAATTTAGATTAGTTAATGAGTTGTATTCTAATCACTTTTGTGACATGTTTGGTATCTTTCGAATTGGTGAAATCAATAGTTATTTTTGTTCGTGAGTTTTAGAAGTATTTTTCATGCATTCACCACCTTATTTTTAGGGTATATTAGTGATTGGACAAGTCCACCTTGTTTTTCGTATAGTCTGATAAGAAACAACAAGGAAATGTCATGGATATATGGAAAATTAATTTGTCATAAAGCCTACAATTCGTTAATGATCGTATGGAGATATTTCTACATCATGAATACTGTTTTAATGCGTTATGAGCTTCTCAGATATGCTAAACATCACCAATGGGATTTCTTGCTGTTATAGTTAGTGCTGATAGTTGTAAAATGTCACGAGACAAAATCAAGGATAAGCATGTAGTAATTGAAAAAAACACATGATCAATATGTTTTTTAATGTGGTGGCTGGCAGCCGTATTCACTGAGTAATTAGAATTCGGTGAAGTGGAATTTATAAAAATAAAACGGTTAACCTGGAACTCGTGAGGCAGTAACAAATAAAAAGTCGATAGATGGAATGTGTAACAATTCATGAGGTTGAGCCATGTTATGCAAATCCTACCACTAACTACTCATAAGAGTTATATTCTGGTTAACATAGAATTAGGTTAGAAGGCTAAAGGCGGCCAAGTGAAGACATGGCATGAGTTCATGGAGTCACTGACAACCAGTCTGAGCTAGGTGAGTTAAGGCAAGGTTCACAACTGTTTCCAGTCACAATAGTCGTAATCTGTGGTTTGGTGACAAGGGTCAAAATCGATCCCATTGAAGCAATCAAACTGATTATTTATATTTCTGTAAATGTTGAGCTCATTATCATTCCGCACAGTTTATTCTTCGGTTTCACATGTACTTTTTAATATTTAACTCTTAGTTAGATTTTCACCAGTTTTCCCGCTTCCCGTGTTTTAACTTGTTCTCTCGGTAGACACGACAACCCGATCCCATACATAATTGTTATAGATCTCAAAGTTGCCAAAGACTGACTGAGAACAACAAAGTATGATGGATTTAATGAGGTGTTTACTCCAATAAAAAGTGATTACAGGTTTTGCCAGTAGAAAACCAGAGGAGAGGAAAGTTTATTAGAAAATGAATATTATTTGTATAGAGATATAGTAAGATCTTAAGGCACTCGCAATTTTAACCGGAAGACTCCTTAGGAGGGACAATCGTTTTTCTTTCGGAACTTACCAAACTATTGATTAGAGCACTTCAATACTCACAACTCATTAGATCCCGAAATCAGTATATCACTTCATATCTGTTGTCAGTATTTAATCGACTAGCTTGAAATGCTGATTTAGACTTCATCTTGTTAATACGCAGTATTTCTAATGAATATTGAGTCTGCTTATATTTTGTGTATAATCTTGTAACTATCTTCATTCCTCCATACAAGATCGTTATTCTGTTAAGATCCTGATTAGCAATAAACGACTTTGATTTTATTATGGATACAGTAACTTTCTATGTTGATATAAATAAATCATTTCAAATATGCTTGGAGCAACTTAATTACCCGGATACAGCCTGATATATACAGTTTAAAATTAGGGTCTTTTTATTTAATATAATAATAAATTGAAAGGTATTTATTTATTTGAACACATAAATTAGTACAAGAGGGAACCAAATATATGTGTGCTACACAATAACAATGAGGTTATGAAAGGATAAGGAATGTAGGGTGAGTATAATAAAAGAAGACCAACAATGAACGGAAACTAGTGTGTGAGAGTGAAATAATAATGGGAGAAACAGTTCAGTCAACAAAAATACAACTAGAAAAAATTGTTTCAGTTAAAGAAGTTACATTCACTTTCATGAAGAAGGTAAAAGAAGGTTACAACACGATCGCCACTAGCTTCTGTTCTGAGCCATATCTGATGACATATCAAGCTCCTGTGTTGCACCATACCTAGAGCCCCAACCAGGGAGTCGTGAACCAACAACAGAAGCTAGTCCTGTAAAGCTTTCTTTCATACCACGACACTATGTCGTGCACTGACCACCCCTCCTCTTTTTCCAACTGGTCATTGAATCGGCAAATAATGCACGATGTGGAACTCACTGTGATGATATTCTTAAGACATGTCCAAGTCACCGAAGTCGATGTTTCAAGATGGTGTTAGCAATTCTTCGGAGACAACGATGACCAAGCACAGTAGGTGCTACCAGTCTTGTAAAAGTACTTTGCACTTGGAAGGTGTTAACCACATGCCATACCTACGGACACTAACTGCTAACTGATTAAGTGCGGACTGCATGGTTTTGATATCATCGCACGGTAACACAATATCGTCCACACACTCAAGGCCAAAGTGTCGTTTTCCAGATGACAAATCCACACCTCCATTACGTACATCCATCAGAGCTGTATCCAGAATCGCATCAATGGCAAAGTTGAAGACGAATCGTGAGATTGTGTAGCCTCCCCACTGCTTGAATAGAACAATGGAGAAAGGTGGTTGTATGCTCTCACTCTACCTGAGGTATTCGTATATAGGTCTCTTAAGTTGTGAATAAACTTCTTAAACAAACTCTTCTTTAATGGGCAATTTCAGTCAACAGTCCTGTCCAAAGAAGTGAAGGGAGCACTAACGTTAAGAAACACTATGATTTTTGGCCTGTAATAAGAATGACAGTGTTCTAAACTTTGAAACGGGGTGAAGATCGGATGGATGCATCCTCGGCGAGAACGAAAACCATTACGTCTCTCGAGAACCAATATTTGCCGGGTTTTGAACTATGGTATGACTCTATAGAGGTGTGTTACGGTTGCGTTAAAAATTATTGGTATACATTGAAAATCAAAGCTTGAATATATGCAACGTGAAAATGTGAGTGTTGCATGTATTTTCGAAGTCGTAAAAGCAATATGAGCTTAGTTGATGTGTCTATTACTTGAATAGTTATCATATTTTTTATTGATATGGGCAGATGATGAGATATGGAAGAGAGAGTAAGATTGGTTATTGTATGGTATCCGATACAATTTATGACGAAAAACAGTGTAATAAATACCTGTAATTTTGAAGTGAGATTTCATTTTAAATTGAAAGTAAAACACAAAAACACATAACATTAAAAACTCTAACGAACACATATAATTTACGAGGAAAGGAACGTAGATATAATACAAAAAATAACATTAATAAAAATACCAAACTTCGTAAGATTTGTACATACTCATCTGTGGTTTCTGAAGTCTTTGGTAAATTAGTTGAGAATGTAGAACTACGTACATCACTCGATATATAACCACCACTCGCCAGCCGACTGTAGAAAAATACATTGAACAAATAAGTGGCTTGTTTTTGGAAACTTGTGAGCTTTTCGAAATACAAATATTTGAGATAGAAGTTAATTATAGCATCATTTAAAAGAGCTCCAGGTGCAAGACACTCAATATCATTATTGGTTATTGTTATACTGTCAGTAGACCCAGGAGGTTTGTAGTCGAACTTCCTATAATCAATAGAACAAGATTAAAATATACACACTGTTCATTTGACACTAAAATAAATGAAAGGTCCAACATTAATATACAATAGTGTTCTGTGCATACAATTTATATGTGTAGACGATTATTTATTTATTTAAACACATAAAAATAGGTACAAGAAGGCACCAAATAGATATGCACTACATAAATTATTCGATTTGTGTGAGGGCTGAAATACTGCCCGGGCACCGAAACCGAAGCAGGTGGTTTTCTTAGGGGGCTACACCCCGAGCCTTTGACCTAAAGGTCTAAACCACAAGGCAGTGAAGAAGTGTTAGGAAATGCATTCCTATGGTAGCCGGTGACCAACAATAGTTCCATGCCCTATTTGTTCCCTCAGAACCCTAGAGCCCATGTGCACCATTGATTTGTAATCAGGGTTTTCCAAATCTCCTAGGTGGGTGCTCCGTTTCCACCACCCGGTTAAAGTGCCAGACATCTGCTTTTCTTTCAGTTTCGTAAACAACACTCCTGCTGCGAGAAGGAAGCGAAAAGGACTTCCTTGGCAGTGGTTTTATGCATGTGGCCAAGTGAGTGAATTTCGAGAGGGAAAGTTGACTCTCCCCACTTTCGGCTGTACCAGGGCATTTGGGGGCTAGAAGTTGGCTTAGAAACTAAATCATTTAGTCGCAATAAAGTTTAGATACCAATCATCTTAAGATGATAATAACACAAATTACAAACAAATAATAACACAATTACACTAACTCCCTTGTCTATAATCGTGTTAAATATACTATGAATGATAGTTACTGACCAACAGAAATCATTTTTATTCAGTTGTAAAAAGGTGTTGTTATAGTTAATGATGACAAAACAGCCAATAGAACTATAAGTGTTAATTTCACCGGTATGTGCGTCTATGTACATTTCTAATGACTTCTAATATTTATCACTCTATCAGTTGACTTGATGTTACATGATGATAACGTACAACGTTAAGCAACTTGGCAAGTGACAAAAAAAGTAAAATGTTATTATAATCACATACTTTAAGACTTACAAGGAATCGTCATCAGGATTCGTAGATGATTCAGTTTGAGGATTGCCACTGTTAGTCAAAGCAGATGACCTAGCATTCTGAATCCATTCGCCAGTATTTTCTTCACAGAGAATGATTAAATCGTCACATTCTTTATTGCACTTCATAAAAAATTAAGAAAAAAGCATTGTAAGGAAATAGGGTCACTGTCAAGTGCTGAATAAATTAAGTTTAGATTGTGAAGCATTAGAGTCGAATAATAAAAGATACAATGGTGATCAGAGAAACCCAGTTAATTTAATCGAGCTTTTTCCTGAGAGTTGAAAGGTTTTCATATGGAAAAATTATGTCTCGTAATGAAAGCCAAGTCACAGGAAGACAAGAAGCTGAAGCTCCTTAAGACCTGTAAAACGACAATTTATATAAAAACATGACATCTCCAGGCAGTGTGAGAGACCGAGAGGACCATTTGAATAGTCACAAAGGTGATAAGATACAACAGCACTCGATAGCGTGGATAGAATAACCTTATAGAATTTAATTGACACTATAAACCACCTGAGATTTTCACTATCACATGGAACTCCTACAACTTGTGTCAAGACAAGGCTGCTTAATCTCACAGTTTCCCTCTCTACTAGCTGTTGACTGGATTATCAACACCTCCACATCTCACGAAAAGCACGGAATTCATTGTACATGTTGAACACAGCTGAGTGATTTGAACTTTGTAGATTACTCAGTACTGTTATCACATACACAGCAACAGATGCAGACAAAGATAGCCAGAGTAACAGCAGTCGCCTCGAAAGGAGTGTGTCTCAACATTTACGACGGAAAAAGCAAGACCCTTTAAATATAACACAGCGAGCACCAACCGAATCGCACTTGATGGAGAAGCTCCGGAAGAGGCGGGTGCCTTTATGTACCTAGGGAGTATCATTTAAAAACAAGAGGGGTCTTATGAAGTCGTGAAGACACGTATTTGCAAAGCAAGGGTCAATATCCCTACAACCGAAGATCACCTGGAACTCACAACAAGCGTCACCTGAGACCAAATTCATAATCTTCAATACGAACGTCACGACATTTCTATTGCACTGAGCTGAAACTTGAAGAACTACTACAACCACAATCGAAAAGGTACATGTATTCACAAACAGCTGTCAACGCACGATACTCCAGATCCCTTGACCGGAGTCCATCAGCAATAACCTACTGAGACAGATAACAAACCAGCTTCCAACTGGAGAGGATTAGGAAAAGACTCTGGAAGAGGATAGGACACACATTAGAGAAATTATCAAACTGCGTCACGGAGCGATCCGTAATTCGGAAGTAAGAAGAGGCAGATCAAAGAACACAGTGCAGATAACTGGAGGAATACCTTAAGATAATGAGCAGCAGTTGGCAACAACTGTAAAGGAGAGGACAAGGTAGTTTTTTGTTGGTCCTTTGTGGGAGGCCTATGTCTTAAGAGAGAGAGCGAGCTTAATTAAAATCTGCACTACCCGATAACTGCAATAAGTGCATTGTTTTTATTTTATAAAATGATAAGAGAAAATCATGCAAAAAAAGTTCAATTTACTATTCGTTTGGTTCCGTAACTTTTTATCGAAAGACTGAAAGTCATTTAGGGATTTAATTTCTACATGCTTTTACGGGTAAGAACCAGCTTTTCTTTAACATCATCCGTCCTCAATCCACAGTCACTTAAGATATCAAGGACTTTGTCACTTGTCTAACAAACGTTTGTTTTATCAAATGGTTGCATAATAATTACAATCTATTCTCATTGAAAAGATAGTTTCTCTATAGAAAACGGTCATGTATTGACGTAAACATGACGATGTATTTCTTTCAAATTTAAGGACGAGAAAGGTGAATTAATATTTTACAATTAATGGACACGTCAGTACAGACTTCTAGTGTGCTTTAGGATGAGGTCAGAAGTGGGAGGATATTTCACCGAAAAAATTCTATTACTTACAATTAGTAAGTAGTTAATGTGCCAAATACTTTAAAAGTATTAGGTTGGCATACAAAATCAAGTGCAAACCACTAGTTGTTTTTGCTAACAGAATGTATATTTCAATACTTTTACCGTGAATTCTACCAGTTCGTTTGACTTACCTAAGTTACCTGGGAGAAAGAGCATGATATCAATAGGATCAGTTTATTAGGTGGTAAAAAACTGACTAATGTCAAATTATCAGAATGAGTTTTGTGGAGATTTTAGTAAATTTCACAGGTTGAAATCACGAGTCAGTTGAAGCTAGACCACCATTGAAAACCTGGAAGCACTGGACGGCCGTCTCGCCCTAGCATGGGACTCCTCAGCAGTACGCATCCACGAACCCGCCCCCTGAGGGGCTCGAACCCAGGACCTACTGGCTCCGCGCGCGAGCACTTAACCACTAGACCACTGAGCCGGCACCCAATGGTGTTAATGTCTAGCTTCAACCAATCCACGAAGTTGCGCCATCGAACACCAATGTCTTCAGTGAGCTGATATCTCACAGGATCTCTCAGGAGAACCTCCTGGAGTTCTAGTGAGAAGCCGTCACCAGTGGAGTTCAACCAGGTCTGTTGTGAGATATCAGCTCACTGAAGACATTGGTGTTCGATGGCGCAACTTCGTGGATTGGTTGAAGCTAGACATTAACACCATTGAGTGGCGGCTCAGTGGTCTAATGGTTAAGTGCTCGCGCGCGAAGCCAGTAGGTCCTGGGTTCGAGTCCCGCAGGAGGCGGTTTCGTTGATGCGCGCTGCTGAGGAGTCTCATGCTAGGACGAAACGGCCGTCCAGTGCTTCCAGGTTTTCAATGCTGGTCTAGCTTCAACTGACTCATGATTTCAACCTGTAATATCAAATTCACCAAAATTTCGGCTCGTCTAGTATTCCAGTATCCTAAGTCAACCTACCAACTTGTATAAATCCAATCGATAAAGCAGAGGACTAGATCTATTAAGATAGGTCCATTAAGCTAAAAATCCACTTTCTTTTCAACACGGGAAGCTGTGAAGGATTATTTAGACATTATACAGAAGGTTGATCGGAGCCACTAAAATGTTTAAATTTGATTAATAAACTGAATTATTGGCAATTCAATCTCGCTGAAAACACGCCACACCAAGTGTTTTCATATCACATGATTTGCTATTGAAAAAGTACTTAATCACGACTGAAACAACGAGTTACAGGCGTTTTTGTAGAAGAAGCCAGTTTACAATACTGATAGTTTTAAGAAGAATGAAAAATACAAAGAAAACAAAAATCTAACATGTCATTCGGAAACAGTATTAACTAAGTCCTTAGTAGGATCCCAGACATAGAAATCCGATGCGCAACACACAAACCAGGAAGTTTAATGTTTTCTGAAAGTGGTAGCAACGACTATGCACAATTACGATTTTTAAAAAATTCAATGAATAGGAGGACGAAAGACTTAATTGAAGACAATTTTAAGTGCAGGCTGGCGGTAACCACTGGTAATCAGCAAGTCACGTGCAGCCGTTTCATTTTTATTTAAGATTCATAAATATCTTCATAATGTAGAACATAATCAGTACGTCAATGATTAAAATACAGTTGTAACATCGATCTTGCATAAACTACTCAACTAGAAACTTATCCACCATTACAAGTAACACAATGCGAGATAAATGTAACAAGATTCTGAGTGAATAACCTAAATTTTGTGGTCAACGAATTAAGGAGTGAAAACATGCCGAAAAAAGAGGATGAACAATATCGACACCACACAAAAATTAGAACAGGTTTATACTACTATTGGATTTACGATATGTGAAACGATCCTGTAACTTACTTCACCTATTGTCAGTTTTCCTTGGATAGTATTTCCGCTTTCCTGAGGAAGTGAACTTGAGTTATTTGTCAGTTGGATACCGGAATGAGTAAGAGTATTTATCACATCAGTCAGCAGACCTCCCTCATTTGTGTGTTTGTCAACTTGGGATGAACTAGATTCCAAATTTGAAATGGGATACTTGTCAGACTTGGTTTGAGTTTGATCGACTTGGTTAGAAATCTGAGACTCACGAAAAGTTGAATTAGTCCTTTTAGATTCAGCACGTGGCAGACGAAGGCCACAACTAGAAAGAATTTCTCTAGCCTTTTCTGCACTACAATTTATGTCACAAGATCCATTTTCACGAACTCGATTGGCTAAACCTTCGAGATCATCTACTGTTACATACAACAAGTCGCTAGCAGATGGTTCCCGCAATACCAAAATTAACCATTTGACGCTTGCTTTAAAATGAATAAATGGGAAGGGTTTGTCAAACCATATGATCAAAACACTTTCAAAAAAATTACCTCCCTAAATAAAAGTGTTTATTAAAGAATCTAATAAAATTAGTTTTGTGTGGACGAAATAATGAGTAGAAACCATGTAGTTAGAAAACTAAGGATTTCATTAAGATTAAATGAGAAGGGTTATTACTGAACGCTTTTTGGTCTAGTCAACAAAGACTAAGTCACTGCTTGCTACAACGAATTTTGATGAACTAACCAGTGCTAAAGTACCCTATTTATGGGTCAGAAAGAAGTTTAATTTTTAATTTTTAGACTTCTGTCAACAGTAATGGATACTAACGGGTAGTGAGGACATAATTTGGTTGTGTAGCATTGAGTTTGAAGATTCTTAAAAACATGACTGAGGTTAAAAATGGATGTCTCAAATGTGAGTTTACCTAGGGATTACACTGTTTATATATTAATCATCTGTTTGAACAAAAACATTAGTACAAAGGAGCATCAAAATACATATGCACCACATAAGGTAATTATCACTAAATCTATGTGGTTTGGGATACTGTCCAGGTCTCCAAACCAAAGCAGATGATTTACTTAGGCAGCTAATCTCAAGCCTTTAGCCCAGAGGTTTAATCCACAAGGCGGTGAATCAACGTTAGGAGATGCAGTCTTCTGATAGCCAGTGGTCATGAATAGGCTCAAACGTCATTTGTTCCCTTAGTAGCGTGGAACCTATATGCACCAATGATTTGGGATTACGGTCTTCCAGTTCTTCTAGGTAGATCAGCCGTGCTCACTAGCCCGGTTCAAGTGTCCGATGTTCACTTTTCGTCCTCTCAATTTCATAAACACCCCGCCATGAGAAGGGAGTGAGTAGGACTTGCCTGGTAGTGGCTATATTCGCGTGGTCATATGGGAGCATTTCGGGAGAGTGGACTCTGCATACACTAGACGGTAGTAGGGTATTTGGGGCAGCTAAGTTATCGTGACAGTATAATTGATCTGATCTGCAAAGAGAACTTGTAATTCTTCAGGCTATGTAACTAACCAATATCGTAGAAGATCAATTACAAATCTATTTACAAATAATCAAAATATTTAACAGTGGATATCCTTCTTGTATTAAATCATTCTATGAGCATTATGGTTTATATCTGTTGTAGGAGTAGCTGAGATATTGAGAAGTTTATGATCAGTTAGAGAAACGGAATCAAATGAGGCAGAAATGAATGAATTAACTACTGCATGTTCATTACTGATATCGACAATAATGAGGAAGGATGATGGTTGATGAATGTACGTACATTGGTCGATCATATAGTAGGGCGTGAACAAAGAATTGTGACTATGGAACTATGCTCAAAGTTCCGGACAGATGACGTGAATAACTGTAACGATGATCAAATCAGTATACTATCCCTTTTTGAGACTATTACACAGAATATATTTCCTAGTACAGCTGGTCAAGCTCTAGGAGAATACTGAATAGGAACACAGGACATATCCCTACAAACTGGTAAGAAAACAAACTCATGTATCTTTAATAATGAGACTGATATCCTATAAGCAGCTTTGAAGTACGTGGAATGGGTATGGTTATTACCTAAAAAACACTATTGTGCTAACCGAATAGACCCTTGTGGGTTAGTGAAAAGCGATTGCATGTACAATATATACTGGGTATGGTCAGAGTGCCAAGAGTTACAAGGGCTTTCGCTTGCATCGAATAATCGTTTGCAATGAATAGATCACACCCAGTAGTAGCCACATAAGGTAAAAAGTAATGCAGTAGGGAATGTCTTATTATATTCATGGTGATTTAATCTATTGCTATTACAAATTTTATGCTGTTTGATTCCACTTTAAGCGTGTCATTCTACTGGTTCTCATGGTGTCCATGGATTTAGTAGTCAGGTCAGTTTATGATATAACGTCGAGAGTAGTGCTTACATATGAACTATTAGCTCATCACGACAGTTGGGTGATCAATATCTGTTTAGTTACCTAGATTACTAACGCATGATGAACACTTTACTGTTCGGTGAAGCTAAACAATATTATGGAGTTCGGTTACGTAACGGAAAATGAGTGCTCCTCAGTATGAAACCATATGATAACTGATCAAAAAACTCACGCAAAATGAATTCCTTGATTCTAAGCAATTCAGAAAGCTGTGTCTTGAAAGAAATAGATGGTTTGACGAAAATCACTTGGAGGGTTTCGCAGAAAACAAGCATTTCCATATTATTGTATTGGATGGTGACACTAGTCCACACGCCTGGGAAATAGAATACGTAAAAGGCTTACCTTCTACTTTAACTTTGCATGAAATGGAAGTTGAACTGATGCAACAATCTTCAGCACGGCCATCAAAAATCCCTGACCTTCCGATACTGAATATGTTAAGAGGAACAAGGTGGCTGTTGTTGGCCATCCTTGATCTCTTCACCGATGGTGTGCCATTGGATGATGGTATGACAGGTTCTGTTTTAGCAGAAGACTTCAGAGAGGTATCAGATAAATCAATAACTTTGTTGCACATAGTACACCTGAAGTCAGTGGGACAAGCAAGGCCGTGACAGTTTGGTTGAGGACACTTCCAAAACCTTTTATTTTTTTCTTCATGAACAGTTCTGTGGAAATAAATCTTTACAAACACGTAAAAACATACGGTGACTTCCCACCCAGCGCATCTTGGATCTCTCGTAACATCATAATCTGAAGGCCAATGAAACGCGCCTTCTAGGTCAAATTCAAGTTTTAATGAACGAATTCAATGGCAAGTGAGTGAACTAACCTTTTTCCTTGTTTTACTTGATTTCTCAGCTTCGAAAGTAGGTTCTCAATCTGCTGAAGTTTAAAACAACTCGTTTTACTCATTGAACAATTCTCTGAAATCAGGCAAACATCAAGGTTTCTAAATGTTCAGACGAGGTGTGGTTTAATGCATAACTGTTATATCATCCCGATATCGCTTTATCTGATTACTATTTATAAGGTCAAGATCATTTTGGAAAGTAGAATAAAGCTATTTAAAGTGGTATTACTGATAGAATTACGGATAAAATTTGGTGACCAATAGTTGTTGAGGAGAACAAAAACTATGGAATGGATTTTAATGAGAAACAAAAAAAAGATGAAAAAATTTCATATGGATAGGAAATTAATGGCATAAATCGCAACACAAATATTAAGTATCAGATTGTTAGATTCGGAGGCCCTATTTTCAAATAGAATGAAGATAGGTCGTTATCTACCGAGGGTTTCTAACACAACTAAAGCAATAAAAACAATCAGTTATCTAAGTTGTCCACTAAATGCTGGTAATAACATGCCACAGCTCAGTTGTGAGGATAATTGAGAGCATTTCAAAAGTAACAGTCATAACACGCAAAGTACTTCTTAAGGTGAGTAAAAACGCACTAAATTAAGTAGCTTTATCATCATTTGGCATTGAACTCATGTCTGTCAGTCTCGATAGTAAAAATTAGTTTGAAGTGCTCTTCATGACCGTCTTCAGCCACGATTACTCTTATTCAATGCCATCTGTTCTTCAAAGGCGGGGGTCACACTGTTATGAGAGGAAATGAAAGTATTGACTGATCAATAGTTATATTGAACCTAAACAATCTCAATTGTTTGTTCGAACTATCAACTTCTTTGTTCATATCTTTGATCTTGAATATTTTCAGCCCTATACTTTAATGGTTTGGCTTGAGTTAAAAGTCACTCTCTGTTTTAAACTACCTCACTTTAGTTTACCTGGCGTTGAAAGACTGAAGTGACAACAAGCATTCTATGCTCGAACTACTAGTTTGTAGGCTGCCTTGATTCCCTGGTATACATGCATTTTCGACCATTGAATAGTCTTAAAAACATTCTTATTTGTATCTCACTTAGTTATTGATTGTTGTTATGTGTTGTGTAGTAAAATAAAAATTCTTACTTGTTTCGGTGCTGATACTTAGGGCTGATAATAGTACTATTGAATCAACGAGTTCCAATTTGGATTCTGTAGACATGTACGTTTTCTACAGAAATTACTAGGTCAAATGTTCTTCAGTTGAGCAGAATTTAAACGTAGCTCTAAATATTTTCAACGAGCAAGCAAAGTGGGAATCTAACATATTCATATGACACCCTAATTACATTCATCAGCGAAATAAACGAAGATGCAGCGAAGTTTAGAAGAATGGGTATGCTGTTTTTAGATCGACGCTTTCTATTTCTATAGATGAACATTGAAATTATTGAGTACTTCACGATACTACTTAATTCCTTAGGCATTGCAGAAGATAGTAATCACAATCACACGTAGGGGAGATTTTTGAAGTTATTTCTCGACAGGCAAGGCATTGGTTTAAACAGTAACGGGATGCTCCATACAATCGGAGATAGTGATTACATTAAAGTCTGTAACGGAAAGAACACAATGAAATCTCTCCAAAGTATTTCATTGGGCAGTATTGTCATTTGTTTGTTCTTTTTACTTCTCACGTTTTCTAACCTCTATTCAACTGCCTTTTAACTACACTTAACGTTCTCTAGTCAATCTTGTCCGGGAAAAAAACTATTTGACTTTGGTTGAAGATTTACCGCATTACCAGATTTTCTCGTTACATGTTTTCTGACAGATCATATTTAGAACTAATGAAAACAAGTTGGCTGGAAATTACAATATGAACACTCGCGTTATCATCAAACATCTCAACAATGATATTAGACAAAGCACAAACAACTCTAAAAACCTAAAGTTCATATCCGGATTCCCTTCTGCTTTTCATGGTATATCCTTGCTCCACTCCACGTCTTGTTGCTTTAATAGGTTTGAATTAGTCCAAAACAAATAATCCAGTTACACTGAACGGATCAAATATTGGTCCGAACGAAATAAACTCAGAAATTCAACGGCATTTAAAACCATTCAAGTAAGTTCCAAAAATCTAAAGAATCAGATGAACTAAGTAAAGACCTTGTGTTGACTGAAAAACGAATGTATTGTGATTCGGAGCTTCCGATCAAACAACGGGTAAAACAGGACTTCTTAATTTGGAATAGGCAAATTTTATTTATATTTGTAAACCTGCCACCACATTTTTCTGTATGGTAATTATCGTAAAAGATTCTGCAACAAATCTCAAATGTTTGGGTCTTTAGAATCAGAAAGCAGAAAGAAAAACCGTTGGTAACAAACGAATCAGAATTCGGAGATTAAAATTGACTGAGATATACATATCAAGAACGGGTAAAGAGCGGCGTTATTTACGGTGGGTTGGATACTTCAGATATCTCCCATGACAATGTCTTAACAGGATGAGGCTGAATTTCTGACATTTATGTATCTTTATTGATAAATAACTTAACGGAAAAGTGCTTTGTAAATTCGCTCAAGACGCTCGATTTGATTGTATTCGCGTTTTTCTTAATTTCCTCTATTTTTCTGTGTGTTAACGTTCATCGAAAACGTGTGCTGATAAGTCTTTATTTCACTTGACACAGGGTCGTGGAGTGTGGCTCACACTTTTTGTTGGTGGGATTAGTTCCTACAGAGAGATGTTTGGTTACATTGTGTTGACTCTAAGGTACTTGAAAGTTATAGTTAGTAACCATTTTTCTTCGTAGTGTATCTCTCTATTCATCAGTGGAACATTTAAGTGTAGCACAGATGATATATTTCAAATTTCGACATTCGTTACTGTAATATAGTATGGCAAGAATGTAGCACCAAAGTCGTGGTTTGATACAACTTTTGACTATGAGTGATTCAGACAGTCTTTGTACCCTATGAAGATGAACACAGTGGTTAATATCAGTCAGATTGGTCATAACATTATGTTCATCGTATTCTCTACTCAGAGCAAAATATTTGAATCTTACTCATCAAAATTGGTTTTAAATGTGCACATCATAAAATCAACTGAGACAAATAAATGTTTATAGCTTGACAAGCTGCCCTTCAGATCAGAACCAAAATATGAACCAGACCATCCATCTTTTTCAACTTACAGTTGATCTACTGATTGTTATTAACGAAAGACCCAGTAAAAGCTAGCTTGGTAAGTTTTTCGAGCAATCTAGCCGTGAATGTAGGTCCGAAACCGTAAAAATCAATCATTTCAAGGCGTAGATTGAAAATTGCTTTAAAAATACTTCTACACACCTAACTTATAGTATAATCGGAAAAGTTTTATAACGTTTCTATGTTACAGAATAGAGACAATAGGTAGAATAACTTCAGTGCAAGGCTGCTGTCTTTTTGCTTATATTTGTGGCGACATTTGACGACAATTTGGCATAAGGTCTCGTTGCTAAATGGCAACGACCCTGTGACATCGTGACACTTCATTGTGTTACATTTTATTTCAACTTTGTGCACTGTCAAAAGTTAAAAGTTATTCTGAATATATTTGCGAAGCTACATTTTGATTTCAAATCTAGGTTGATAGGTATTTTCCACTTTGCAGTACATGACATCTCAAAATCCTTGAGAATCCATTATCCATGTGCTGCTAGAACAGTTTTCCCTCAATCGCATAGTGGGCAGGTATGAATTGATACTCGGTCATACACTGAAATTAGACTAATGACTTAGCATTTCATGAAATAATATGAATAAAGCACATAAAAACTGTATTATCGTCAAATCTATTGTAACTACGCAAAAATTAACGATACCATTACAAGGTATTAAGTTTTTGTCTTCTTTACTGTGATTTCAGCCGTTGGTTACTATTTTGTTCTACTTTTATGCTAGGACTAGGATAATGGCACAGATATTAGCTTTCATCAGGGTTGTAATCATTATGCGTCTGCTTCAGGCTATAATAACTACTACTGGTAAATATGATCTTGTATGGTTGGATAAATAAGCCACCAAATTATCAAATTCCAAGGATCAAATCAGACTCATGTATAAAAGGTACAGTTATGTGTAGCTTTCATCAGGGATTAAGCGAATATCTCAGTACTACTACTTCTATGAAAATCCAAACAAGGTTTTCATTCGTGTCAAAATTCTGTCGTCTATCTATCGCCCAATGCTAATGGAGCTGCCAAGGTGAGTATCGTCAGTGTGCTGAACTACTTACCTCCATATGTTCAGACTAAAAACTGGCCCACTGTAGTTCTTAAGCATTTCGAATTGTTGGAGACCCAACTAACACTAATGTAGTCCTCAAGACATTCAGACGAGTTCATTTCACTGACGTCTTACTCAAACAGAAATATGCCACCTGAGTAATCTAAATTGAATGATCTCACATTGCCAGATTATTGCCTATCGAAGGTTGTCCTCGGGCGGAAGAGTTCATGTACCTATCCTGCAATAGTGTACGTCTTTTAAAATTTCTATCCACAACGTTCATACATCGAAACAGATCGAACAACGGACATTTACGACTAAGACTAACGTCTCGCAACGATGTGGAAAACAATGTCTTCTCGTTGTGTTCACCTATACTCTGATTATTTTACTACCGTCAAAGTAACTGTTTCTATGAATTCGGTGTCCAGCTTGTACTATTGAGGTGTGGCAACTTAGACTGATGCATATATGTGCCTGGACCTACGTTGTAGCGGACTGAAAGCGATGGCAACTCATTGATCCCAGCTCGGATAATGGAGACTGTTTCCCACAGATTTGCACAGATCGCAAGCTTTCTGAACTGTCATGTCTTCCCTCCTCAACTTAAGTCTGGGCTCATGGTGGCCATATT